GAGCTCCTTCCCCTTTGCCCCCTCACTGTGTACTGACACGCTCCAGTGATCATCCAGCATCCTTCAGTCAACTTGCATCCTTCTCAGCTTCACCGGTTTCGAGCTTCACCAGTTTGCATCCTTCTCACGACTCACCGCACCTATCCTTATAACATCGCATCATCGTTGGAATCCCTCATTCTCCTGACGACGGGCAGAGCAAACTGTTTGAAACGTTCACACATACTCACAAAAGAGATTTATTCACATGGTGCTACCGCAAACTTATCTTGTCTTAATAATACCAATGCCTGTACACGAAGATGGCTAACAACCAGAACCCAGAGAGTTGTCAAAGACAGAGAGGCATCTTCCACAGTTCATGTAAAATGTAGATTCTGGGATTCTGTAGATTCTGTTTCTGCTCTTTGTAAACAACAAAGGTGACAACATAAATTCCACAATCAAGTTGTTTGCAGACGACTGCCAGTTGTTCTGCTCCATTAAAACCAATACTTTCACTGCCAAGCTCCAAAAAGATCTGGACATACTAAAGGAGTGGTCTGACCTCTGGCAGATGAGATTCAATGCCAAAAAATGCTTCACAGGGCGGATCCACAGAAAGACTTCGATCATCACCCACACAACACACAGTAGCCAAGAGCAATTCATCTACGGATACAAGCACAGCCTGTGGCATACACTCCCTCAAAAAAAACATTGCGTTGCCCACTGTGGAGCAGTTCAAGGGGGCCATCAATGCTAATAAACGTCCACGTGAATGTCTTTTTTACTTGCACCAATCAAAATTGCACTTGTAAAGAAAGCACAACCAGAGCACATTCAGCGTTAACACACTAGTCCCTCATCTACGCGTGCCTGCCGATTGCAACATAAACAAATAAACAGAAAGAAACCCAGAACTGTTTATTTACACAACAAGGCTGACAAGGAAGGGCTTAAAGAAGATCTTGAATCTTTTGCGTCTGATTTTAGCATGACCTGGAAATCACATACCGGTACATTGTACTGCATCTTCAAATTGGACTTATTTTAAGCTGCAGATCACAAGTATCATGGACAAGAATGTGTCAACAGAACTAAATGTCTGAAAGGCAGATTGGATCTACCATGTACGACACCATAAATAAAGCGACTAATGTGACACAGAAAATGGAGAAATACAACATACACAAAATTCAGGACACAGAAGAACTGGACCAAGCATAGAACACTTCACAAATCAAGCAGAAGCTTGATGAGTCACACACCAATTACAACATGTTTGAGAACAAGAAGAGTTCTCCCAAGAAACTGTGGAAGTATGTTAAATCACTGAAGAGGAATGGAATGGGTACCAGTATTTCCTCCTTGGTCTCAAGAAAATGGGTTGTAACCTACATGTATCACCTAAAGACAAGGCTGAAGTGTTGTCCAAACAATACAGCTGAGTCTTTTACAAGAGAAGATGTTGACTCCATGCCATTATAGGCCAGCCCCTTTCCTGTCATGCCCGACATTGCAGCAACGGGAGTTGAGAAGCTGCTTACCTCACTCAATTCTAGGAAAGCTACAGGTCCAGATCAAATACCAACTAAGATATTAAAAGACCATACTTCTACCTTTGCACCTGTTCTACAGATTGTATATTTGAAGTAGTCACTTGATACAGGTGACATACCGGTAGCCTATTAAATGACTTCCAACATGGATTCCGTAAACATCATAGTTGCGAAACCCAACTCCAAGCGACCTTGGACGATCTTAATGGTGCCATTGATCAGAATCAACAGATTGCCTGCCTTATCCTAGACTTCTCCAAAGCATTTGATGTAGTGGGCCCCGGGAGAGTTGGGATGGTATGGCATCAATGGTCCTACCCATAAATGGATTGGAATCTGGCTGACCAATCATACTCAAGCTGTAGTTGTGGATGGTGAGAGATCGTCTGATGCTGCTGTCGCTTCTGGGGTCCCCCAAGGTATGGTTTTAGGACTACTCCTCTTTATATTGTTTGTCAATGATACTGTTGCCAACATCTCATCTTCCATCAGATTTTTTTGTGGATGACTGCCTCATTTATCGACAGATACAGTCTGAAAATGATGCTGCAGCCTTGCAAGAGGACCTGAACACCTTGACCAAACGGTCCCTCGACTGGCAGATGAGGTTCAAGTGCCAAGTGCTCCTTGCTCCGCATCACCAAGCGATGTAACAGTATCAAGACAACCTACAATATTTAAGGAACTGATCTGCACCAGGTTGAAAACCACCCCTATCTTGGTGTGAAATTCACCTCAAACTTGGATTGAGGTCTACATGTAAACAACATCACCGGTAAAGCTCAGAAATCCCTCATCTTCCTGAAACGAAACCTGTCAAAGTGCCAAGAAAAATTAAAAAAAAACAAGTATGTATTTCTCCATAGTCAGAGCGATCTTGGAATATTCAAACACAACTTGGGACCCACATCACCAGAAGCAAATTTCAACCCTCGAAGCAGTCCAGAGGAAGGTAGCCCGCTTCACCAGAAGCAAATTTCAACCCTCGAAGCAGTCCAGAGGAAGGTAGCCCGCTTTGTGAAAGGGAACTATCAGTGTACAACTAGCATTACTCAAATGCTTCCAGAGTTGAATTGGACATCACTATCAAGATAACTGCACCTCGTCTTACAATGCTATGCAGGAACAACATACCGGTAGGAAAATCACCGCTGACAGTCCCAGACAAATTTATTCCAGTCAACCAAAAGCACAATACCAACAGACTACATGTAGTAACCAGAAGCCATAGACCACATCAATTCATCAACTTCCCAGCCAGAACAGAGATCTACAAAAAAAGCTTCTACCCCCAGATCATCTGTCAATGGAATCTTCACCATCTTCCACAATTACTAGATCCACTTCTGCTAAGTCATTCAACATCAACCTATGGAGCTAGATACATACATGTACATGAATGACTACAAGGCACAGCTGGGCTGTACATGGGCAGGCCAGCTGGACGTTCCATCTTCTCAAGCAACTAGTCCCCAAGCTTTTTCAGTCACTGTATGCGCATTTTTTTTTTGGCTTTTTCGCAAAATTGCGAAAACAGACATACAGCTCTAGTTTGTTTTGGTTGCATTTTGCACTCTTACTTGTGCAAGGAGATGTCGACAAGACACGTCCTTGGAAGTCTGGACCAAGCTACCTATCTGTTCTGTCCAGTATTTACTTAGATGTAGATGTAGACTTTTAAGGCCTTTTTAATAGTGAAATCCAGACAACAGACACCAAATACATGTAGGGAGCGTATAATCTTTTAAGCATAGGATGGTACATGGTATCTATCTAGTACAGTTCTCCCTGCATGGGCCATTTATTAGTACAGTTCTCCCTGTTATTTAAAAAAAAAATGCTTATAAAATAATTTTCAAAACGACAGCACTGATCTTTGTGAAACCTATAGAAAGAATGTTTGATTGATGGTCAAGTAGGAGTGTTTGAAAGTGTTAGTATCTTACAAGTTACATGTATAGTCGCCAATCAGTAGACTTGACTCAGTGATTTGTGTTCTCCTTTCGGGGAAAGGGCTGGGTCTTAAGAAATCATCCTGCAGACATAGTATAGTCTTTAAAGGGAATGTACAACATTTGCTTTTGCTGCAATTTTCAGAAATAAATGAATTTGGAAGATCAGTAACATAGCAAATATTGTTAAAATGACTATTACACATTTTGGGCTTGTAGATGCTGGAAAAACCAAGAAAATCAATCATGTTCTTATAGTCTGGTTCCCTGTCCACATTTAGATTGAAACGGAGCAATTTTAGACTGTTGGGAATTGTAAGGTCAGAGAATCAACCTAGCAGGCTTCTACCCCTTCACAGGTGTGTTATCAATTACAAAGAAAATGCGGAATAACTAATTATGAAAAATTTGGACGCAGTTTTTGCCGACCGTCAGCGTTGGAAAAATGCAATTTTTCTTGAAAATGTCAGTACACCAGGAGCCACGATTTTACAGGATGCTTTAGAATGTCATTCCCTAACAATCCAGTAAGATATTTTGTGACAATTTGATCATTTGTTTTTAATGTTGTACCTTCCCTTTAACCAACTTGAACGTTACAGGGAAAATATCAGACTTTATTCAGGGGATGTTTTGGTCAAACATTAACTATGAATAAAAATGTTGAGATCATTATAAAAACCACTTCCCGCATACCGCGATAATAGGGAGTCCACCTCCGTTCGCACACTCCGAGCATGTCGTTTTCACAGGCATCGTACACGGAATAAACCACACCACCGTTGGATTTTTTTATATCAATTTGAAATGGAAGAGTTAAACTACACAAAAGACTGGACAATTCGGGAAGGTTAGTGGGCAATCTCTATTCTGAACGAGAAATGTGATAGGGGCCTAAGTACCGCGATAATATGGCGACCTATCCTACACTTTGTAATTAGGTGGAGTTAGTTGAATAAAATAATTTGTTCTGCCAAAAATAAGATTTTTACAAAAAAAAGTGATTTAAATCAGTGATTAAAAAAACCCAGAATCATTTGATTTAATTTAATTGCAATTTAACTCAGTGATAAAGTGTCACTCAGCCAACCCCGTTTTTTAACAATATTCTTTGGCTTTTGAGTGGTGTGGATATTGTAAAACGAACAAAATGCATGAAAAACAAATCATCACCATGTATTGTAAGTTTAAGTGTTGAAAACCGAGGCCACACGACATGCACGAGGAAACTGTTTACAACTTTTTGGGGTCATGCAAAAATTATGTGTGACCTCAGATGGACCCACAATGCAACGCGGACTTTACTAGTGTAATTTGAGGCCGCAGAACGTGTACATGACCGTCCTAATTTAGACCAGGAATTGACACTTTTGGGGGACAAATCAAAAGCCAAATTTTGCATTAGCAGCACAATAAAAGTCAAGTTGTACTAATGAGCGAATGTACTCTCGCAAAAGAAGTGCAAATATATTAAGAATGTATGAAAGAAATAGGCCACTAAGCCTACCTTGATTGTTCCCGGTGGTTCATCGCAGCTCACCAACATATAACGGTCCGTACGACTTGCTTGATCTCGGGCGCGGAGCTGTGATGGGAACAAAAACATGAGAAAATTCCAACAAACTCTGACAAAATACAGTTCACTTTTTGTACAAATAAAAGATATAGAAGGTGCGAATTGCATTTAAACACACTTTCATCGCCTATTGAGCTGGATACGTTATAAAGATGTTGGGTACTGTGCCTTAGAAAATCACCCACCCTGACGGGTAACATTTTCGCACCCCTTCGCACACAAGTTGCGAATGCCCGCCTCACCTTCATGAAAATCTCCACGGCGCCTTTCGCTATGTCCAGCAACGTAGTACCCAGGTGAGTTCTCTGATTCATCGAAGAACTCGTGTCCACGAGGAAAACTAACAGCGGCATCTTGTAGTCCAATTCTAACTGCGTCTACAGATAACGATTAAATCTCGGGAATCGGCCGTTTTGGCCCGATTTGAGGGATGTTTATTCTTCCCTTTTCTTATTTCGCAGCTCACGGAGAGCTGCCGATCTAGCAGCTAGCCAAAGAAAACGCCACATAGAGTAATCACGTGACATGGGCGCCATGATGCCTCTGATTGGTCGACAAAAATAGATTAATTTGCATGTCTACATAATAAATATGGTCGTGTATTTGGCGTGCATATTAAAACTGTATGCAGTGTGCGCATGAGCGCGCAAATTGGCATTATTCTGTTTTTTTTATAAAAGAGGCTGATATTATTTTATAGCAATAATCCTTCTCTTTTTTATATATATACTTGTACATCATTTTCTCATTAAATGATATTTTTTTTCTGGAGACCTGTCTGGACTAGAGTTTAGCATGTTTTATGATCAGATGATCAGATGATGTCCCTTTAAAATTTCAGTTCGAATTGAAACTTAGACTACCGCAGTGGCTGTCGTTATTTGACCTGACAATATTCAACGTCAGGATCTTTGGCTCTTGGGAAGTTGAAACCAGTTTTTTTTCAAATCTCGGTAAATCTCGGACTTCTCAGAATCCAAATCCCTCCACAACAAAGCCAGTGATCACTCAGAAAAAAAATGTTATATCAAACACATCACTTCAAAATAAGTAGCTAGCTGGAGTTACCTCAGCTAGCCCTATATTTTATCATGGGGTTGTCTATGTGACAACCCATGATAAAATATAGGGCTGAGGTAACTCGATTCAGCTACAAAATAAGGAGGATTTATCTACTCTGGTTCCCAGAGCAAAAGATTCTGACTATTCCTGACGAATCTGCTAATTGCTTTAATATTAACAACTTTAAAAATGAGTTGATAATTATATTAATTGCTTTCATTTAGAAAACTAGAAATTCAACGACGATTAATCGTATATATACGAGGGGCGAAGTTTTTGCTGCGTCATGTACTATTTTGAATTTGACGACCATTACCTGCATTTTCCAAAACTCTGCATGGTCTTCATTCGGCTCCGCCTGCTAACAGTGCTATTTGGGTGCCTAACTTAGAAGATTCCAGGTCAACATTAGTCAACGTTTTCTTACAAAAATCAATTGACGAGCAAATTTACAGTGAGTCAGTATTTTATAATCCTAAATTCACAACACAATGCCCCAGGTGCATTCTGCGCAACATTGCACAGTGCGCGCGAGGCCAAAAAAAGAACTGTTTACATCGTATTGGCGAGCTGGACACTCCCTTATTTAGCTCTAGAGAGGGGTGTTTGAAAAAATATGAAGTTGACTTCTTGAACAAAATTGGGTTTTTTGGACCGAAAAGTTTTGATGTTTTTGACCGAAAAAGTATGGGAATAAATATGTGCTTGGTCGGTATTAATCACTCTGTTTAAGACCACTTGGAGTCTGGGTGAAAATTACCCTCGCGTTCGGCACGGGTAATTATCAGCACCCAGACTCCAAGCGGTCTTAAACAGAGTGATTAAAACCTCCAAAGCACACATTTATTCCTTCTATGAACAATTTCGGTGTCATGAAATTTAATGTAAAAATCAAAAACGGTTGCATCCGGATATTGGGCCAAATCAGCCGAGTGTTCCCTAACATGGCACACTCGAATCAATCTTTAAAAATTCTAAATTAACATTTAAGAATTTAAATGTAAAGTTGACAAATTCTGATAAACCATTATTATCTCTACTTACATACCCAACTAGAAAATTGTCAGAAAATTATTGTTCTTATTTTTTTGGGGACATTTTCAAAGGTTCACTGTGCACTGTGAAATAAAATGGGAAAATCACACTGAAATAAATATTTGTTCTAACTTTGTAACGGGTAGATACACTTGTAATTTATGAACGAGAGTACTTAGAACTTCATATAATTTCACTTTCTGTGAAATTTTGCTCTAGCTAGGCGCTACAGGTGAAAAATCAAAGTGCACCATGCTAGGGGCCGCGCCACATTAGGGTACATCAACAATATACTGTACCCACCATCACTTTAAAACTTTTGCAATTAAGTCATCATGCATTCATTCCAACATGCATTCGCACCAAGCAATGCATGTTTTCAAATGTGCAAAAGGAATACTGATTTAGTTCAGAGATGATTCATGTACATAGCTAGGCCTACATGTTTATTATGAAGTGAAAAGAACTTTTGAAGCTTTGGAAATTGTACCGGATATCTAATTATGCTAAGAGCATAGACAGGGACTGATGGATTCCAATTTAAAGTCATTTGTGGTTTGATATCTAGGGGCAATTCCGTGAAATATTGAGGAATTGTTATATCAAACTCTGTTTTATGTGCTCTAAAGGCACCCTTTTGGGTAATGACATCATCATGTTGTTGAATGTGTTTGGCATTCCTCAATACTTAAAGGGAATATACAACATTTGCAAATATCGAAAAATAAAACTACCAAGTTTTTGCGAAATACCTTAATAGGATGTTGGTAAATGACCGTCTAAAGCATCCTGTAAAATTATGGCACCTGGTATACTGTCATTTTCAAGAAAAGTGGTATTTTTGTATCAATTTCCAACGCTGATCGGCCGATCAGCGTTGGAAACAACTGGCTTTTTTTCAAATACTGGCCCCAATTGACCATTGCACTTGTTTGCAATCGATTACAAACCTATGAACGGGTACGAGCCAGCTAGACTGGTTCCCTGACCTTACAATTCCCCAATGTATGTAAACTGCTCTGTTTCTTCTTATATGGAGTCAGGGAACCAGACTACAGGAAAATGATCGTTTTTCTTGGTTTTTATAGCATTTTCGAACCCAAAACCTCCAAAAAGTCAGTGTAACTATATTTGCTTTATATTTTCAACCCCCCAATTCCATCAATTTCTGAAAATTACAGCAAAAGCAAATGATGTATATTCCCTTTAACACTTCCATAATATATTTGCCTGTTGTAAAATGCTTTGGTTTTCAAGTTACATTCAATGTTCATTGCACTTCTGGTAAGCAAGCGATGGCGAAGTGGTTTTATACCCTACCCGGGGATAAGAATGGTTGCTCACAGCAGTCAGCACTGTCTACCACCTCATAAAAAAACGAACATGATGCAGCTTTTTCGTACAAAAGATGAAATTTGATACTTGATTGATTTGAGGCTCTATTTTCTATAGTTTGAATTCACCTTAATTATTTTGACCTTTCGGTTGTTAGAAGGGTCAGACAAAAGGTATGGTCCATCAGATCCCAAAGCATGAACATGATCGTTAATTTTGTTCATGAGTTATAAATGATGGAATGGTAATATTTTGAGCAAAAATGGCTTGTTAGGCTATTTGATACCTGATGACGTTATCATGATGTCAGAGTAGTATGCACCACTCAGGATCACGGTCGATTTATGTTGAACTTTGAAGGTTACAAGTAAAATACTGCAGAGAATTATTGTCCGGAAAAAAAGAAGTTCTGTACTAGACCTGGGCTAGTAGTGGATTTTTCTACTGGAGAACATGTACTCACTAAGAAATTACTCACAAGTGGTCGAGTACTTGCAAGTAGTTAACCAAATTCCAACAAAAAACACCCCACAGAAAATGAGATACGTTAGTATGACATGAAGTAACATACAATCAAATAGGGTGCAAGTCACACCACTTTCTTCAGCACTCTTACTGTTCGATAATTTGGGTCGATCATTTACCTGAGTTTTTTATTTTGTTTTGTGGATGAGTGGAATCCGAGGGAGGAAGACATGGAGGGAGTGATTTCCTGTTTGCAGGGGACATATTAAGTTGTGAACCCTAACCCTAAATTGCTACTCTTGAGTACCTGCTTCTACTCGCGCCAGGATGAGTACTCGAGTAGATGAAAACTGCGAGTAGAACAATGAGTAGCATAAACTACTCGCAAGTTCTTGAGTGTTATCGAATATAAATCTAGGGGCAATTTCGTAAAATTTTGACAATATGGACTTTAAATGTTTAAAGAGTCAATGTCTATTTCATGTGCCACTTTCGGGTGATGTCGCTGTCATGCTGTGTCTGTGGTGGCTTTCCTCACTAAACACTTCTATAATTTGTTTGTCTGTAGTAAAATGCTGCCATTTTCGAGTTGTATTCAATTTTCATTACACTTCCGGTAACGCTGGAAGTGAAGGTTAAGTGGTTTTGTGCCAGGGTGAATAAGAAATGTTGCTCAAGGCAACATCTACCACCACACGAAAAATGAACATGATACTCTATTTAGTTCCAAAGATATAGTTCAAAGTATTTTGTCAAATTCTGCCCTTAAATTGCTTGTAACTTGATACCTGATGATGTCATGATGACTTCACAAAATCTATAGCAGACCATCATTGGAAAAAAGTGACTAGTTTTTTTCAAATACTGCTCCCAATTTACCGAATTTAGTTAGTCCTCATTTTGTTTGCCATCGGTTACACATCTGTGAACTGGTGCAACTTTGCAAGCCAACTAGTCTGATTCCCTGACCTGACAATTCCCTAACGTCAATAAATTGCTCTGTTGCGTCTTAAAGGGAAGATACAATATTTGCAAACATCAAAAAACGAAATGATAAAATTATCACGAAATATCTTATTGGGTTGTTAGGCCCTGACAGTCCAAAGCATCCTGTAAAATCGTGGCTTCTGGTGTGCTGACATTTTCAAGAAAAATTGTATTTTTCCAGCACTGGTCGGCCGACCATCGTTGGAGAAAACTGGCTTTTTTTTCAAAAAGTGCCCCTAGTTTTTCATATTTAGTTATTCCGCATTTTCTTTGCAATTGATTACACACCTGTGAAGGGTACAAGCCTACTAGACTGATTCTCTGACCTAACAATTTCCCAAAGTCTATAAATTGCTCCGTTTCATCTGAAGTTGGGTCAGGGAGCCAGACTACAAGAATATGGTTGGTTTTCTTAGATTTTCACAAATCCACGAACCCAAAACATGAAGCAAGTCAGTTAAACAATATTTGCTATAACATACTAATCCTCCAAATCCATTTATTTCTGAAAATTGCAGTAGAAGCAAATGTTGTACATTCCCTTTAACTAAGGTCAGGGAACCAAAATACAAGAACAACATTTTTTCTTGCTTTTTCCAGCATCTGTGAACACAAAACTTTAAACAGGTCAGTGTGACAATATTTGCTATAAAACAATAACCCCCAAATCATTTCTGAAAATTACAGCAAAAGTAAATGTTGTATATTACCTTTAGTAGAGTGGATTGCAGTGATGTAGTGCCTTGATGCTGGGCCTTGGCCTTAAGGCTGCCTTAAGGCTGGATTTTAGGGCCTTGGCCTTGGCCTTGAGGGATCACGGCCTTGCAATTTTGAGTCAAGGCTCTTCAAGGCCCATAGATTTTTGCATTTTCCAGGTAAATCTGTTCAAAATTTTGCTGTTACCATTTTAATCATATTACCATGGAGGAGGGAAACCCCTTGTAGATTTGCGTGTTGGGCACACTTCCACTTTTATAGCATCACATGTTGTTACCATTGTAGTAGATTTGCTGCAAAAATATTCTGTACACTTGTGGGGCTAATGAGATGATCACTTAAATTGCATACAATTATGGAATAGATCTGATTGGTTGTATGTCTCCCTGATAAGTGCTAAAGATTTGCATGTATCTGTTTTAGATAATGCTGATATTTCTGACCATGTTGGCCCAGCAAATAAAAATGTCCCAAGTCAGTTTCTTGGATCCCCCTTTTGTTACACTCGGGAGAATTGTGCGTCAATATAGAAGTAAATCTTTATTTTGTTTTAGTTAAACCATATTGAAGACCTGAACTTATACTTTAATAGATCTAATGCAGTCATAAAACGGTGTATGCGAGCAGTTGATTGCAATTTAAGACATGTTGTTCTTCTTAATGGGCGATTCGTGATGATGTGTCATGTGACTATAATTAGTTCTATATCAGTGGTCATTTTATAAAACAGGGCCTTGGCCTTGGCCTTAGCCTTGAGGGTTAAGCCTTGGCCTTGGCCTTGAGGCTTGAAGGTCTAAGCCTTGGCCTTGGCCTTTGCCTTGAGGGTCAAAGCCTTGGCCTTGGCCTTGGCCTTGAAGGTTTAAGCCTTTGCTCCAACACTGGTGGATTGCAATCATCCTTCTTTTCAGTTGAAACAACTGCACTTTTTTGTTTGTTCGTAGCATTCCTAGCAAGATGAGGTTTTCCATCATCAAGCAAAACCGGTTCCGCATCCTTATCTGCGAGGGTTACCGCTACTCCCGCTACATGGTGGTCTATAACAAGGAGTACTGGCGCTGCACAGATCGGACCTGCAAGGGCAAATTGCACCTGAGTGGAGGACGCATCGTCTACGTCAAGCGCAATGGCCACAACCACGGACCAGACCATAAGGTCTATATTAATAAACAAACATAAAATGTTCATGTATTCCTCATTTCTGGGCTTGACTTTTCAAAAAATTGCTTGCTCAACCTGACTGAACCTTGTTACTAAAGCATCGGAAAGCTTGCACTTGCCTCTGGTAGAAAAAGGATTCTTAGAGGATTCCAGTTTCCCTGAACTGTAGCTATTGACTGTAAATATCAGAGATGAAACTGGCCTTTGGGAAAACCAATCAGAAAATAGGCCGAACATATCATTTAGTACTGTTATTGGATACAGTGAACATGACTGAAATGGTGGCAGCATGATAATGGTCTATAAGCTACTGACTGCAGTTTGTGGTGCAAACACTGTTGTTCTTTTCAAGTAATGTCTTTATAACCATCTTTTTTTGAAATGATTGTTCTGTACGTTTGATTTACCCCTGCTTGGCTTTTATTTTCAATGTTATATTTGCACAGTGCTTTGAGATGTTAACTTTTCATTTCGTCGTAAATTATTTCTATTATTAAGGGCATCTCGGCTGAGCAGGCTCTATTCATCATGCGCAAGCGTGCCTACAATGAGGATACCCCCTTCCAGCAGATCTACCAGGACACAGTGCAAGAGATGGAGGATGCTGGACATGGCCCAATGAAGGAACTGCTGCCATATGCCGACTGCCGTTGGCAGGTGCTAAACCAGGGGCAAGAGATAAATGATGATGCTGCAGTGCAGAAGACAAGCAATGGTGCTAGGTGCTCTGCACACACCGGGAAAGAGGCTGTGTCAGTAAACAGAGACCATTACACCGAGTTACATGTGGAGAGCAACAGCAGAGATGCTGGGGACAAGATGCCAAGGGGAATCGTCACAGATGGGCCAAGTGAGCTTAAAGTCCAGTTCAAAGTGATTGCAAAAACAAACTGTCATGTCATGGCAGCTGTTCTCAAAGTTACCAGGTTGAATACAATTCAAGTGTGGTGCATTTCTCGGAGAATTGTTTGTGATGTCAAAATCTATTTGGGGTGGGGGGGGGGGGGTTGATCCCCCCCCCCTAAAAAAAAATATTTTGTGAAGGCTGCCCTTTTTCATACAATTGCCCTTTTTCACCAGCTTTTACTCCCAAAATATTTCTAAAAGGTTTCCTTTTTTTTTAACAAATGCCATTTTTGGGGGAAACAAGTTCCTGTTTTTACCAAACAAGTGCTCTTTTTATCAGCAGCCTTTTACGAGTGCCCTTTTTGGAAATTGGCATGATCGTCAGCAATTGTGCTGCCCTAAAAAGCACCATCTATTGTCCGATAGTGTGCATGATCGCAAGGTTTGAACAGCGCCCCCATTAGAAGATGGTACCAGGTACCACCGAGGCGATTCTGATGGGGCTATGCACCGCTCTACTGTAGACTGGCATGCAACTGGGAAATTCGCATGAAGTATGAACCGGGCTTTATGGCAGTCATGAGGAATAAAAAACGAGGAAATCAGCAGATCCGAGGAAAAGTTGCATGCCTGTATAGATCTGTAGTTTATTGTTAGTTTTTCACTTTTTTCTACAAACTTCAATAATGCATAAAAAGTGAAAATCGCTTTCAATTTTTTTTTTTAATTATTAATTTTGTTTATTTTCATTTTTTCCTTCTTTTTTACAAAAATCAAAACTGTATAAACAGTGAAAATTTTGTTTCATATTTTTTTTTTTTCATTTTGTAGAACCAGAGATTTGTGAACTGGAAGTAGTTGACTGCACTGACCAAACAGCTGAATCATTCTCTGTAACCATAGCAACAGACTCTTTCAATACAATGCTGCCCGCATCACACTTGTCTACACAAGCTAGAAATGGGAGAGCCCCTCCAAGTCATTCACCTGTGCAAAGTGAATCACATAGACCAGGAGCAACCAGCGCAACTTCAGGGGGTGTCCAACATGGGAGCAGTACACCAGGTTTAAAAATTCACAGCGCATACTCGCTTCAGACCGTGACAGTTCCAACAAGTTCAAGTTCAAGCATGGATAAGCCAGATGAATTGCCAGTAGTTGAGGATAATCCTGTTGCCTATATTGATGTTAACCAGCATGCAACTGACAATGTTTTCGAAGCACTTTCTCAGGGAGGCAGACAGAGTACCGTAAGTCGGACCAAAACAGCATATGCGAATACTGTGCTGTCCTCTGGTAGAGCTGTACAAGTCGGTTCTGATGTACCGGTATTTGTGTCGCAACGTACCAAACCTAACCCCCATGCTGCATTGTCGAACCAGGGAAACCGTTTTTCAAGACAGGGAGGGGGCAACTTTAGGAATACCCAGTCTCGTGCAACCACTGCATGCATGGACAGACTCTCAGGGCTTCCAGACCAGTCGGGCTTAACTCCAACATTCTCTGACCTGACCGCACATCCACCAGGGCAAGGAGATCCACAGGGCCAGTCCTATGTGCAACTGCAGATGCGTCTTGTGAAGAAGGAACACAGGCTGCGACTTCAGTACATGAAGGAACGCCACGATGCTGACATGACACTAGTGCATTTGCAGCAGGAACTAGTGCGGGAACAACTGCGAGAGATGCACCAACCACGGGGTGGTTTGAGCAGCTAACAATAGGAGCAGCATTTAATACTTAGTCATATCAGTTTGGCTTATTTCTTCTTTAAGGTGCTTTCCTCTTAACATGTCCTGTTCACCCATTCCCATAATTCTCACCAATGGCCCCAACCACAAAGCAATGTGGACAGGTTACTCTCATGATCAATGCATGTGCATCCTGTGTCCATATGGAATTATGGACCCCAGTCTCAATGAGCTAACAGGATTGGTTGGCCGGTTTGAATCTGATGTACATAGCAGCGGGTACCGCATAACTATTCGTAAGATGGATCTTTAACTTTTTTCTTTTTTTTGGCACTAGATATAGAAAGCAGGAGGTCGTGGGTTTGAGTCCCACCCTGGTGATTTTTTCCAACTTTCACTCGGGAGGTATCACACTGAGTATACAGTGTTTATACGTCGGTGAAGTGCAAAACTTAATTTGTTTTCTTATTATCTCCTGTTTTTCACCAGTGTTGGTTGGTTGGTTTGTCTGTGAACAGGATACTTTTTAAAGTTGTTCGCAGATTTTCCTGAAAATTTGTGTAGGGGTGGTCCTTGATTAGATTTTGGACGTGATCTAGAAGCAGGATTTTTTTAAGGATTCTTATTTGCAAATATACCATAGACCATAAATATGAAGGACCCCCCCCCCCCCCCCAAAAAAAAACTAATCGACCAGTCCATTTCTGGGCCAGTCCATTTCTGGGCCACATACCATTCGCACAGTGCAAGTGACAGGCTGTGTATGTTAATGTCATTACACACTAGGCTAGCTCACTGGTCCCTCTAGAGACCCACCGGGCAGCTAAGCCCCTGTTTTATGACCCTGTAAACAGTGACCCTATGGAAATGGCACAATTCTCTATTCAACAATTGAGCAATACATATTAATACAGAGTGTTTCTGCCCTTTGATTTTCAAACATAATTGAGCATTTCAAAAGTTCCTCATGTAGGATCATTGAACGCCACGTACAATGTACAGTATTGTATTGCTTGTGTACAGCAAATAGGGGGATCCCCACAGGCAACATTGCGCGCGAAAGGGGTTTTCCCCCCCACTTACTGTGCTCTCCTCTTGAGTGTCTGGTTTTACGACTGTTTTATATTTACTACTGAGCCACATGTAGGGGCTGATTGATGGACCAATGTATTCTTAGTAGTGTTTTGTACATGTTTATATGACAACTTCTTAACAGAAACACATTTTTTACTTTTGATGACATCATATGAGACTCAAATTTGGGCTGGCAAAAGCGCCCAAATAGGCTACCTTTTAAAATTGGGCACTTTTTTTGATGTGCCTGTGATACTAAAAATTTCTTGCCATCAAACTGAACATGATAGCCCAACACCATGTTCATGTAGTTGTTCCTACAAAGTCTAGTTTATTTTGACATTGTGACCTGTGAGTAGCAGTACTTCACAAATTATATGAGTCTGCACTAGTCATTTCTGTTTGCATTATTTGCCCCACTTTGATTTCTAAGATGGGGTCTTATGAGAAAGGTCACCGTATAATAAGAGATCATATGTTTAATTGGAGATAATATGAACTAAACATACATGTATGAACAATTTAATGTATATAATAAATATAGGTACATGGAATTCACAACTTGCTTTCTGCAAAAAAAAAACACACACAAAGAGGAAAAACCAGATTTTGAAACAATATGTCCAAAAACCAGTATTCCAAGCCCAAATAAATACATGTGTGCATTTTTATATGCTGCAGTCTGTAAGTTTATAATGGCATGAAAATCTTGCCTTATGTCAAACCAAACCTATTTCCTAACAAAACATACGTGTATTTAAAAGGTAGAAATAATGACCAAAATGTTTTTTTAGTATCAACAAATTATAATAATTATTCGAAAAACTTTTAAAAGGTCAGATATCTAGATGTTTAACCGTCACCTGGCCAGTTTCATGGCAGTATTTTACTTAAGATTCCTCCAAGGTGACGAAGAAAAATCTGTTTTAGAGTTTGGAGGCAAACCTCTACATGAATATATTCTGATGAACCAAAGAATCAGAAAAGGACTGAACAGCCCATTCCTGCCATATCTGCATAGGTAGCAATTGAACCCTTGTCACAGAGGTGGAAGAACAAACTACACATGACCAGATTATAACTAGTCCGGCATACAGGATGAGTGGGATTCTCAACTACTTTAAAAATATTAAGGACATCATTTAGTGCCGATATTCCCTGATAACCAACTTGATTATAAAAAAAGACATCTTTTGCTGCATCACACATCACAGGCATGCGACTGGGAAATAAGAGCTGAGAAATGACTGCTTCAAATAGCATCAACTTTTAATTTGAAAAATGACATATTCACTTCATACGAATATACAGCTTCAGTATTTACAAGCCAGAGTGGACTTTCAATTGTAAGCGTTTTTTGTATGACATGTTATAAAAAAATTAGGGCTGTCCCGCATATACATAACTAATATTCTATCATAACTGAATATTCGAATAGGGTTGAATATTTGAGAAAAAAAGAAGAAAAAACTACGCATGTGATGTTCTTTTAATCGCAATGTTGTGGCCCTTAATTGTCAGATGCCACTTTTGTTGTCGATGGTGGTTCGTTGCTCCCATCCTTTCAGCAGGTTCAAGCCCTTGACTCTTATAAAACACTTATTGCAAATCACTCCAGCAGTCCATAATGTGGATCGCCGCATGCAAATTTGAACCGGCGCTTTGCATGCAACCTTTCACCGGCGCGGCACACACTTGCAGCTGGTGTGTGTAAAACTTGATCAGAGTTTTGAATAATTAACAGTTCCCAATAATCAAATACCCAATTATTCGAATTTGGACAGCCCTAATAAAAATACATCTTTGTTGCACCTACATGCATTTTACTTTTTCACAAAATGACCGCCAATTTGACATTAAAAAAGAAAAGAAAAGTAGACTATTGAATTCTGACCATCTGAAATATTCTGTGATATGTTATACCAGCCTAAGGTCCCCACACTTGAGATACCCAGGGCAGTCTGAAATGTATGACATCTGCAACCTCATCTCTGCTGTATTTTTCATATTAAATACTCCCAATAAGGAAGCAAAATATATATATATACACAATGTACACTTGTATTGATTTAATTACCACATGTACATTAGGATATAGAATATGCACAAAAATTGTTCAACGACGATACCACTTACAGTGCGTGTAGATTGGAAGCATTATCTTGTGGGAACATTATGTGTTTTTTAACCAAGTTCATCTTTGACAACTGTAAAGTTGGGGTCTGTTCCATATACTCAGATTTGTCACATTTTGCTGTAATATGCTTTAAAATTTCACTCATTGACAAAAACAGGCAAAGCTGTTTGTAATAACGCAGAAGTATTAGCGAAGATAATTGTGCAGTCTGTGGATACCAGTTGTGAGTTAACGTTACCCTAGGAGAGTTTTGGGGAAAATAAAATGAGAAGTAAATGTCGGTACATCTAGTTCATTTTTCTAGCAACCTACATCCTGCAAAATCCTCCACTGCCACTGGATTTTGAAGAATCGTGGAGGGCTAGGATTTGTATTTACTGTCTCTGTTTAGATTTCATCAATTTCCTCACCATTCTGATTTAACACCAGCAATGACTGTATTCCTCTTGCTCTTCTGGGCTTAGTTGTCCCTTTGACTTTCCACTGTCAACTGATTTGGAACTTGGTTCTAGCCATTGACGTTGCCTGCTTATCATAAACAGCGCCCTCTGTAGTTCAAAAAATGCACTTATAGCATTCAGCATCGACACCTATTTTCAGGATATCAGTAATGAATGGAATGAAGGAATAATTAACACACTCTTTTATGTCCACCTCAAAAGTCATGCCCTCTGTTGCCCATCACCATGCAGCAATATTCTCTGTAGTCACATAACTGTACCACAGGGAATGCAGAACCAGGCACTGCTGCTGTGATGGGTGACAACTAAATAGCGCCCTCTCTCATTTCATTGACGGGTATGCAGTAGTACTCAAATGGTCGCTGGATATAGAGTTGCACAGTCCCAACATTCTACTTTTTGGAGAGAGCTATTCCTGCTCCAACCAGTCCGCCCACTGCTAGAACCGCACCGCCTACTATTGCCATCCCCATTAAGCCGTCTGCAACAACAATGAGAAAACAATGTTTGATGAGATTGAAGTGTACCATGCTTTGCCACTGTATGTTGCATTCCTCTATGGCAACTACAGGTAAAACATGTGCATTGCACACGCTGGTTTTGCTCACATACAGTTTCAAAGTGGCTGGTGCTGATTTTGCACACCCCCTAGGGACTACCTATTGTTAAAAGTCAACATAGCTCTCTGGCTGAGCCTATGGCGTCATGCCGTGTCAATTCAACACGATTTTGGACCCGACCCTCACTGATTGAAACGATATTTGGTGTGATGATGGGCCTATATGAGAAACCCCAAGAACTGAAAGTTTTTGTAAATTGGCTCGTTAGTTTTTGAGATACGGGTCAAGGAACTTTTGACTACTTACTACTTAGCATGACCTCCGAACTTTAAATATTTGTATCTCAAAAACTATAGCGCCTACAAAGCCAAGTTGTACATCATATTAAAGCTCTTTTAATGGCCTCCATTTCATAAAAAATATAACCAACATCGTAGCATGAAGCGCAGAGGAAATGCGTAAAGAAATGACCTTTGACCTTGAATTACAAAAATCAATATGCTTCAAATTTCGTACTTTTTTTTAAATGTTAGTCTATGATGTCAGCAACAATCTTTTAAAAAAAATTGGGATGGGTGCTCTTAAAGTTTTTAAGTTATGATTTTTTTTAAAGATAGCATGTCCTGAAATTTTTTTTGCTACATGTACATGTAGCTCTAGATAGTGGCGTAACTATGGGGGTAGGGTCCAAAATCATGTTGAATTGACTCGGAATGACCCGCTGACATACCTCGTTTCATCTTTTTGCCGATGAGTTGTTCCAAGTCTTTGGCTTGGGTGTTGTTGGGCTCAATTTGCTGAATGCCTTGTACATACTTCAAAGCTTTTGTGTAGTCCTGGATATTAACAGACAATTGAAAAACAACTTATTACACTGAAATAATGCACAAGAGTAGAGGTTTACATGTAATATTGATGGTGACCACAAAGCCAAATGTATAATTGTCAGTTACAAATAAGAAACAGTGTGGTAGTTGAGTCCATCACAAGTCCAGTCGTAAGTTAATTCACAAGTCTGGTCATGAGTCTGGTCTGGTCACAATTCATATGAATAGCTTGTGACTTGACTTAAGACTGGATGACATGTGATGGACTTGACTACAGCACAGCTACAAACAAAAGCTTGACTTAGGTTTCTCTAGGCACTCCACTGAATCCAAAATAAGCCAATAACAGTGAAGTGTGAAACCTGCCGAAATGCTATCAAGAACAGTCTATTGATCCAACCTGGATCAATTTGGGGAATTTGACCAGATCTAAGACTAGACTTGCCAATGTCCAACTTTTTCAAAAAATGAGCCATGAAGTAGTTTGGTGGCATGACTGTAGAAGAAATACAGAGAAGTAGTGACTAGATTTTAGATTTGTTTGGCCATTATATTTTAAAAGCAAATCAACCAATCCAACACAGTAACACTTCTGTCAAACTTCATTAGTTAAAGATCTGTCACAGTAATGTGGCAAACTTTGACTTATTTTGAGGATTATTTTTTTATTGAAACAATACGCTGCATTTAAAATTAAATAAGGGGAGTTAAGCTGTGAACAATAAAAGTTAAAAAGCTCTACTTAAAACCAGAATGAAAACAAAAGGAGCATCTGCTACAAGCCCATGCATTTCGCACATTTACGCTTCGTTCATGAATTGAAGCAATTAAGGCCTATCGTATAAGGAGGAGATATCAGTTTTACAAAGATCTTCCCACTTGCTGAATGAAGAAAATGTTGGGAAGCTTGAGAATTCATCAACAAAAGAAGCGTCCACACATCATGTTTATTTAATGCTGTGGAAAACCAATGCAGGCCTAGCAGCTTTGATTGTTGTGGGAGTGCCACACCATGACCTAAGCAAACTTGCCTTTTCTGTTTGCTGCCCTCACTGACGCAATTTTACACTTTATCAAGTTTTAGCAGATCTTTAACTTTTGATTTTTTTATGGCCCAATCTCACCTCACATGTATTTAGTTTTGGATGTTGTAGATTGTTTCAAATGTATATAATCTTCAAAATTAGACAACCACATTAATGTGGCCGATCTTAAATGAAGTATGACAGAAGTGTTGGATTGGTTGATTTGCTTTTAAACACGGCCAAAAAATCTAAAATCTAGAATCTAGTTACTACTTCTCTGTATTTCTTCCACAGTCATGCCACCAAACTACTTCATGGCTCATTTTTTTGAAAAAGTTGGACATTGACAAGTCTAGTCTTAGATCTGATAAAATTCTCAGGACCTCATCTTTTCCTTCTGGACATTTGGAAGAAATTTGTTGGCAAAAGGACGATCAAATTGTAGCTAGATTTTGTTGCTGCACGTTTATCTGCACTCGAGTCTTAGCCTTATGCCCTCTGCATATAACTCAGGGATAGACTATTGCAACTTGAACACACTGGAAACACTGCCGGTTATCACCAGGAATATGTCATTTGAAAAGGAAGTGTTCCAAATACAGAACAGGGACAGTTCAAAACTTGAAGGGCTCCATACATTCCATCCAAATTTTGATATTCTTGACAATGTTTTGTCAATGTGACATTGACAGTGTTGTCCTTTTAAAAAATTGATAGTGTAAAATGGAAAATTGAAAATATGTAAAAAAAAAAATACATCAAAGAGAAAGCTTTTTCCAATTTGTTTGCACTTGTTTCAGAGCATGGTTGGACCGCTAAAAAAACCTTTGTATTATTAAAAAGAAGACAATGAAAGAGTCACTTGTTATTTGCAACTTTGAAACAATGGAAAAGTATACAATGTACCCGACGTTAAAAAAAATTGATTTTGTCCCAAGTGACACAGTTGAGTTGCGCATGTGCAGCTTGTGATCATGTGCAGTGTGAATATATTACTCTACTTTACAACCCATGTTATCGCCACATAACAAGCACTCTGTAACACAAATCTTTGTGATACCTTTTAATATTGTTGATTACATATTGAATGAGGGAGAGAAGTTTGAGGCACAATATAGAGCAGTTGTATTTCTTTCCCGAGTAATAAGATGCTTGCTTTTATTAAAAATGTGCTTTTTGCAAAGCAATTTTGCCCTTTAGACTATGTATGTGCCTTGCACTCATTAGAATGTTTTTTTTTATTTCCACAATACTTAAAATAAAGGAAATTATATGAATCAGGTTTTATCCATTTATTGGTGATTGTGTAATTAGACCCATCTTTCATTTTAGTCTGTATAGGTCATCATTCTAAAATGAATTCTGCAACTTTCAGCTGTTTTCATTGAATTCTAATTTTGAACAGTACCTTTCAGTAGAAACATGCCATTTTCTTACTCATTTTTAAGTTGATACTATGCAAATCCACACTCTTTCATATTCACATTGATCACCATCTGCATACTGCGTGTTGTTTTCATCGTTTTACCCAAACAGTTTCCTCATACATTGTAAGTCAAAACTCTACCCTTTATCAACATTATTTCTGTTGGTTTTAAACATCTCAAACTAGTTTTATTGAGTCTATAACCTAAAGGAGAATTTCGTTCTCTTCAACAGAAACAGAGCCTGCAACTACACAAACACCCATTTATTGATGTCAAAAGTTTTGATATTGAAGACAAAGCTTGTGACTGACCTTTAACCTGTAATAGCCGACACCCAGGTAGAACAGGCAATCCCGCTGCACCTGAGGGTTACCTTCTCGTAGAAGCTCCTCCAGCAAGTACACCCCCTTCCTCAGGTCATTGGTGTAGCGGCTCCTGATCAAGCACCAGGCATAGTTGAACTTGGAGCGGCCGCTCACCTTGCCTCGGGCCAACTCACAATTGTAAATCTGCTCAAATTTCTGCAATTAAAGAGAAGCTGTCACATATTGTTGATGTTCCCTTTCTGTAGCGTGGCCCCTAACGCTGCCCACTTTTTTAGTTTAGGCCGCTTTCCACAGGCATTAAAAATTAAAACACCATGAAAATACACATTATCTGAACAATGATATTTATGGCGTTTTTCATACTTTGGTAAAGTTGATATCCATATCAAAATGAAAGAGTTTTGGCTTCCTAGTCCTAGTCTGTCGTGTCTACATTTGTGCAGCAGAACGCGACATGTGTGTACCAGACTATTTGATTTCGTTCCTCTGAATCGATACCACGTCTATCAAAACTTTCGAAAATAAGTCAGCTATGGCAGATCATATAAATTAATTTGCTTTTTTTGGGGTGGTTTTTCCCCAACTGAACAATAAGGTCTCGTAGACCCCACAAGATCTCAAGACGTTTGATCCAAGATCGAGGCCGAGACCGAGTCCTTTGAGTCTGAAATTATCAAGACCTACGAAAATTGGTCTCGAAACCAGTCTCGATACCGAGACCACCTACCTCGAGACCTACATCACTGACGCGTTGGTGATTCGTCTATGGGGATTCACTACGCCGAACCCCATAGTTCTAGGGGTAGCTCATTCCATCTTGAAAACGTTTTGTCGTTTGTCATTGGAATACAGGTCAACTCGCACGCGAGCCAACTCGTTTGCAGGACAACTCGTACGCAGACCAACTTGTTTGCAGGGCAACTCGTACGCAGACCAACTCGTACGCGAATCAACTCGTACACAGTCAACACATACGCGAGCCAACTCCTACGTGGGCCAACTCGTACACGGGCCAAAATAAGCCATTTAAAATAAATTGAACATGGAATTTTGGAATTCATTAAAAGGAGGGAATTGGTTTTATATTTCTTGGAAAATTTGTGGCCATTTGGCCCCAAAGGGCCGTCTGTTTTTCTATTTGTTGTTTTTCATCATTATCATTAATTCAAAGTATATCTATCTGGTAAAGAACGGATTATGTTATCTTTTGAAATTCCAAAATTCCATGTTCAATTTATTTAAATTGGCTTATTTTGGTCCGCTTACGAGTAGGCTCGCATACGAGTTGGCTTGCAAACGAGTTGGTCTGCGTAAGAGTTTGTCCGGGCCAATCACAATCCGGGAAAATCACAATCAGCGGGCCTATCACATGGCGTCTCGATTGAGCATCTCCACAGCAACCAATCAAAGCGCCCTGTGATTGGTCCATCTGATGCTAGCCAGGAGCTAGTCTGGTTCCCTGTTCCCAATGTTCTTCTGACTCCCAATATTTTTAGGGGGCCGGGAAACAGTAGCCAGGAGCCATGCACAAGTCAAATTTTCTTGAATTCAAGAAGGCAGCAAAAATGCAGTTTCGGGGGTTTCTCATATAGCCCAATCATCACACCAAATATCGCTTCAATCTGTGAGGGTCGGGTCCAAAATCATGTTGAATTGACACGGAATGACCCAAAAGCCTCCTTCACTAGTTATTTATTGATAAATATCACCCTTTTTGCCAGCTTCCATTGGTCGATACCGAGACCCACGCCAAAACACGCCGAGTGACGCTAATGAATATGCTAATCTATCATACTCGGTCAACCCTAGCACCTAGGGCGCTTTGCTGAACAATGCACGTCGGTTGTGTCGGTGGAACATCCTCATCAAAATTTTCCATGGAGATAGTTCTAGTTGGAACACTAGCGTTTGCAACAACAGATTAAGCTGAAATTCGGAATATTCTTAGATGATATAGGCCTAAGTGTTGAACTACTCATGAAATAACAACTTGGAGAGATTCCTAGAAATTGAGGTTAATACATGCATTGGGGGTTTTCGAACGATTTCTTCCAGACTTGAAGAAGGTCAGCTTTACCAGTAACTAGTACTAACCCTAACTCCCTATGCCATTTAGTTAGGATGTAGCCTCAATCCTGCAAAATCCTTCAATTGGCCCCATGGAAAAATAGCATATGCCTCAATCCTGCAAAATCCTCTGGCTATGACTGTCAATAGGCGGAGGCAGAGGCAGTGACATCCTGGAGCAGTACGGAGGTTGTCAAGTATAATCAAGGACTAAATTTATGCACGAATGAGCATAAACAACACAAGGTCTGGCCCAAGACCTTGACACAGTGCGTACTCCGAAATCAGCAACGCACTTTTGCCATGTAACCTCAATCCTGCAAATTCCTCCAATTTGCAAAAAGGATTTTGGAGGATTCAGGGCGGTTAGGGTTTTGGCATCAATGACCAAGATTTTTTTTCACTGACATGAAGTTTAGAATGTCGTCTTCCGTTATAATTTAACATTTCAATCATATTGAGCATGTTTTCTGAGAAACACAACGTTCAAAAGGCCATGTTTTTTGAGGTGCATGGATTTCACTGCTCTATTATAGTGTCCAAGTACGTAATCGAATTAGCTTTGCCTAACAACACCCGATGCTTTGCCCTAGCAACCACATGACTGTAACTATGAGGCTTTACTCGCATCACGGCTTAGGTAGAACGGCAGCCGAAGTTGGCCGACAAACAGTCGTCGGGTGTGCGCTTCAGCGCCATGCTGCGCTGCACCGTGCAGTTGGCAAGTGTTACTGGTGCGTTCGCTGTGTGTGCTTGGTAATAGACAGCGCATTGCCATTCCTTTGTACAAGAATGTTGTTTGTGCACAAATCTATGCGCGGAGCTCATCATGGCTGCACTTGATCAGCTGTCGGTAATGCCTCCTTTTTTCACTGCAATTGTAGGCTGAATCTTCATCGTGGATCGTTACTTATTTCTAGAGCCTGTGTAATGATTATGCCGGGCAAGGTTTGGGCGAGTCTCAGATGGAAATTAGTTTGTTACGGGGACAAAATGGCACATTTTCGAATTCATTTTTGTACCTGCTAGTCCAAGTTAACAATTTCCTCCAGCCCTATATGACAACCCAATGATAAAATATAGGGCTGAGGTAACTCCAGCTAGGCTAGGGCCTAGTACTTAGTACTATTCCCCAAAAAAATTGTGAGTAGACTTGTCTCAACGGGCGACTTGTCTTTCCAGTTAACGCCCATACGGTCCAGTTGTCCCAACGGTCCGTTGTCTCAACGGTCGAGCTGTCTTGAGTAGAGTTGTCTCAATGGTCGAGTTGTCTGACCCCCGGCGCCCCGGCTCGCGTTAGCTGGAGTTACCTCAGCCCTATATTTTAAATATGACAACCCAATGATGAAATATAGGGCTAAAGTAACTCCAGACACATGAACGTGGCATTGTATACAATGCCACGCTCTTTTATCATTTCAAACCTAGCGAAATCGATCCGCCGTACATAATTTCGTATGCAGGTCGTGTACTTACCTAGAAATCTATATTTGCCTTCATGCGTGTTCAGGACGGGTCATTTCGAAGAAATTTGCCAAAAATGAAGACCCATACGAACGTGTAGAAATTAGATTTTAACTTAACTGGACAAGTGCCCAGGGTCACTTGCGTGCCTAATTATTGGAGCCCTTCGAGCTACCCGTCTGCTTTTTGTGACGCATATGATTATGGTTGTCGCTTGCACAGATTGACGCCTGTTTCATGTCGCATCCTAGATCCTGTGGGGAGGACAGCTTCAACATCCTATTTGTCCATAAGAAGACCAATGGATTGTCTTTGTGGTGAACTTACATTGTAATTGATATCCCAGTTCACCAACAAGATCACCAAGGATCTTTTCCATGCCCGGCATTTTTATTTATTTGTTTCTGATTTTAGTAGCAGGTGTAAGCTAGAGCATGAAGACCAACTTTCTTTTTTTTCAATTTTGCCAATAAATGACAAAAGAGGTAAAAAGTGTAATGACTGCATTTTTTAACTTAATTATAATAAAAGTGGGATATAGTGAAAAAAACAAGAACATTCTTATCTGATGAATTCAATTTATTGAAAGCCAGATCCACCCGTTTGTGTTATTACTTATTTTATTTATTGAATAAATTTAAGTACAAGAACTAAATGTTCAAAAGTAGGGTGTGAATTTGCTTTGCACTTTTTGCTTAGGAATTGCTTGTTTTTATGAAGTAGATCCTTGTTATTTGTTCAGAAAAATAAAAATCAGATTTCCTCTTATTTTCGCGTCGCGGCGAGCAGTGGGCCTGCGTGCCATGCGGTGAGATAGGAAAGGACTGGAAACTTGTCTAAATCGATGTCTATTTTAGCTGCGACAGAAAACAGCCGTCGAATCATACGAAACAAGATGGTATAACAGTGCCCATGCGTCAGTTGGGAAAAGTCCAACGTCGTCTCCACTCCTGGCTTCCTATTGAAAATGAGTTTGGAAACAAAGTAAGCACTAGGAACGAGTTTGGTGTGAGTCCAGTAATTCACATGAATCAGGAGGAGGTTGCAGGCCAATTCTTGGGCCAGATTTTACATCAAATTTTGTTCAAATGCAAGAATTGCCGTAAAAGCAGACTTCAAGAAAGCTTCTATGTGAGAACTTATCACATGGTAAAATAATTTTCAGTTTGTATCATGAAAGGACGATTTCGCTAGGTTTAAAATGCTACAAGACCATGGCGTAGTTTACAAGCCACATTCACTGGTCTAAGGTAACACCAGCTAGGCTCGCATATGACTACGAGTACAACTCCGAGTTCATGAGTTGACTAGGCCAGGTTGGACTCCGTTGTGTACACACAATGAGTCCAGGGTATGAATCTCTCCTGCCATAGCGAAAAACATAATAACACATTTTTTGCATATTTTTACCTGACGGAGGAAGCTGAAATTTCTTACATATTCCTTGTGTCCAGAATTGTGCATACGCTGGGTTTAGAAAAGGCAAAATGTCCGCGGGCGGCGTGTTTACCGAAAATAAACCGCATTTCCACGCTTTCGTTGAAAAGGTTTTCAGTACGAACTCCCTGTGTGAAGATTACACGCGCACGTGCATGCACACCCAGCACACTGCCGCCACGGCAGCAAACGGCTCATGTACATCCTCACGCAGGGAGTTAGTATAC